GTCTTGCTGGCAGCCAAGCTTCCCCCTCCCCCGTTTCTTCCCCCAGCGTGGTGCTTTTCTGCCCCTCCCCTTCCCTCTCCCTGCTGCTGATCAGCTGATCGCTCGGGGGCGGGGGAGCGGAGCCAAGCCGCAGCGTGCTGGCTGCTCCGGGGAGGAGGCAGAGAAGAGGTGGGCACAGGGCCCTGGGGAAAGGGGTGGGAACGGGGCATATCCCCTCCAGCCCCCTGCTGTGAGCACCCCCATGAACCGAGCACCTGAATTCCCCCCCACACACCCAGCCTTCTGCCCTGACCCTTGAACCCCCCCACACACAGCTCTCTGCCCTGACCCCTGAACCCCCCCACATCCAGCCCTCTGCCCTGACCCCTGCACCCCCACACACACACCCAGCTCTCTGCCCTGAACCCCCCCACACACACCCAGCCCTCTGCCTTGACCCCTGAACCCCACACAAACACACCCAGCCCTCTGCCGACCCCTGCATCCCCTCACACGCCCCCAGCCCCCATTCTGACTCCTGCACCCCCCACACATACCCAGACCCCCACACCGCATGCCCTGGCTCTTGCACCCGCCCACATCCCCACCCTGAGCACCAAACAGGAGCTCCTGCACACACACCCCACATTCCCACCTGCACCCCCAGTCTGGAGTCCCGGCTGCCGGCCCCTTGCCAGCCAGGGTCCCGCAGTCCCCACTCAGCCCGCTGCTGAACTAGGTGAACAGAACCCCAGACTGGCAGCGGGCTGAGTAGGCTGGTAGCATATGATCAGAATTTAATTTAATTTTAAATGAAGCTTCTTAAACATTTTGAAAACCTCGTTTACTTTACATACAACAATAGTTTAGTTATATAATATAGACTTAGAGAGAGAGAGAGAGAGACCTTCTAAAAAAACAGAGAGAGAGAGAGAGACCTTCTAAAAAAACGTTAAAATGTATTACCGATACGCGAAACCTTAAGTTAAAGTGAATAAGTGAAGATTCGGCACACCACTTCTGAAAGGTTGCCGACCCCTGGTTTATACCCATCCATGACAGTGCTCCAGTCATGTGAGTTATCCCATCAAGTCTCTGTTATTCCAATCACATCATAGTTCCTTGACTGTGCCAGGACTTCCAATTCTTCCTGCTTGTTTCCCAGGCTTCTTACGTTCATGTACAGGCACCTAAGATAACTAGCCGATTGCCCTACTTTCTCAGTATGAATCACCCTGTTGCACCCTCCTTGTATTTCCTCCTGGTATCCCACTTCTCCACTTACCTCAGGGCTTACGACTCCGTCCCCCAGTGAACCTAGTTTAAAGCCCTCCTCACTAGCTAGCAAGCCTGCCTACCAAAATGCTCTTCCCTCTCTTCATTAGGTGGATCCCATGTCTTCCTAGCAATCCTTCTGCCTGGAACAACATCCTATGGTCAAAGAACCAAAGCCCTCTCTCCAACGCCACTTGCATAACCACGTATTTACTTCCACAATTTGATGGGTCCCTACCTGGGCCTTTTCCTTCAATAGGGAGGATGGACAAGAACAAGACTTGCACCTCCAACTCCTTTATCCTTCTTCCCAGAGCCACATAAGTCTGCAGTGGCCTGCTCAAGGTCATTCTTGGTAGTATCATTGGTGCCCATGTGGAGAAGTAGGAAGGGGTAGCGGTCCTAGGGCTTGATCAGTCTGGCAGACACTCGGTCACATCCTGAATTCTAGCTCCAGGCAAGCAGCACACTTCTTGAGATTCCTGATCTGGACAGCAGATGGATGATTCTGTTCCCCTTAGGAGGGAGTCGCCAACAACCACCACTACCCGTCTCCTCCTCTTGGGAGTGGTGGTCATGGAACCCCCATCCCTAGAACAATGCATCCCAGGCCTTCCAGTTGATGGGGTCTCCTTCTGATCCCTTCCCTCAGATGACTCTTCCAAACCATTCTCCGCCCTAGTACCCGTGCAGAGAGCCTGAAAATGTTTTTTACCTCTATCTGCATTGGGGGTACATGGGTTCTCCTCTTTCTTCTTCTGGAGGTCACATGCTGCCAATTTTCTTCCACGTTCTGCACTGCCCTCTCTGATTCTACAGCATGCTGTGCCTGCATTTTCAAACGCTGACTTCTGTCCAGAAAGTCTTCATTTTCTCTGAGGCAACACAGGGTTGATACTTGGGTCTCTAGTCCTTTAACCTTCTCTTCCAATATGGAGACCAGCTTGCACTTCGTACAGACGAAGTCGCTTCTATCCTCTGGGAAATAGACAAACATGGCACATCCTGTGCAGATCACAACAGCTGATCGCTCACTATTCATATTGTCTTCCTTCTAAGAGACTCTTCAGATGTTGTATTTACTGCTCACAGAAGCCTGAAAGGCAAAAGTTCTGTGGGAACTCCTCACCAGGTGAACTCCCAGGCAAACTCCCTCTGTTTGCTTCTCCTCTGTTCACAGCTCACTCGGTTCGCAACTGGCTGCTTTGTGAAGTGTATACTGTCCTTGTGTAATAAAATTATATACATTTTATCCAATATGACCAAATCATTTTAAGGGTTAATGAAATAACATTTTAAACAAAAGATATATTAAAAACAGCAGGGAAAAACTTTTGTTGAACTTTGCACTTAGAACAGGAGTCTGTTTTATACGGTGTCTAATAATCGGAGTATACCAAGGCAAAGCCAAAGATGAAAAGAACACAATCAATACACCTAAATTTCTCTACTATAATCTTATCCTCTAGACTATGCCTGAGCTAATTAAAAGTGAAAGCTAAATTTGTGATCAGCAGTGTAGCTGAAGCATGAAATTCACAGCAAAGACACTTTGAAATATAAAAGCACTGCTATCTACCTAACCTACTCTACCTGAATACCCACTAAGAAGAATAGTTAATGTCCTTCTGAACTGATGGCTTTTAATGACCTTTTCAACTTGGTTAAAAAGCAGATCACAACTAGAGATGTCCTGTACATATGCTATGGCAGCAACAACAACAATCAAATATAATTATTTAGATTATCCATTCTGCAAAGTCAACCACAGTTTAAGAAGGTACAACGGACTACACAGGAATGATCTAGCAAGTAGAGTAGCAAGCCTAAACTAATGCTCAAAAGAATTAATTTTTAAATGGTGGTTGGACCCTCTTTGAGTTTTGCATCTTTTAAAGGAAATCTCTATTTAATAATTAATTTATATGGTCAAAACGGGATTTTAACTGAGGGGTAAAAACCTCACCAACAAGAAATACTAAATTACTGAAGACCCAGTGTTTATTTTAGAAAAAAAAATCAGAAAGAACTGTATACGAAGGGTAAGGAAAAGTTGAAACTCAATTTTCATCAAGTGAACTATTAAAAAAAAACCTACTTTTAGAAATGGTTATTTTCATATTCCAATTTGATGCATTAGGGCTCTCTGCTAGGAGGTTCTAAGCCCTTCCTTGAGGAAGTTGTAACATTAGCCTTTCTGCTAGAGAGATGAGTAAAGACCATTTTCTCAATTAGATTTTTCAAAACATTTTACAACATGTAGAATGCTAACACACACACACACACACACACACACACACACACACACACACACACACACACTACTTATT